GCATTATGAATTACCATACGTGCCTTTTTTGACACATTCTGGTTCTTCATAATAGAGTGTAGTGCCCCATTCACTCTATTCCCTGCATTTACTCGTCGTTCTATATCCCTATCATATCTACCATCCCTGCTAAATACACATCCCAAATACACAAACTCATCCACTTGCTCAATTAACTCCCCTTCTATTCTTATTTTACATACTGTGGCCGTGGAAGGAAATGGGGAGATCTCCCGCCGGGCAAGGTGTTCTGCCCGGGGAGTGGCCAACACTCCGAGTGATAGTTCGGAGATGTTCTATATATACTGTTTCTGATTCGGAATGTTGATAGCGTGATTTAAGCTTCGGTTTATTTCGTTTGTGGCGCGACGACAGCGCCGCTACATCACCCCCCTGCTCAGACCGGAGGTCGATAGTGCAGTCGAGTTGTCGACGAATGTGCAAGTGCCAGGAGATTTCCTTGTAGTCTGCGGTGAGTCGAGAAGAAGGCAAGTAATCTGCGAGAGTGCCGTGAAGCAGAGGCGAGCAGTAAGGCTCAGAGCCGTGCCGAACACTGTATAGTGCAGAGAGTAGCTTGAAGGAACAGGAAGCATTATTATTCCAGTGCTGCGATGAACCTTGTGAAGCTAGATGGCTTGCAGGATATGAAGACTGCAGTATATATACTGTTTCTGATTCGGAATGTTGATAGCGTGATTTAAGCTTCGGTTTTATTTCGTTTGTGGCGCGACGACAGCGCCGCTACACATACCGTTTTGCTTTCTTCTCTTTCAAAAACCATCACTTTCGTCTTACTTGCGTTCACTTTCATTTCCCTTTCTTTTAATTCCCAGTTCATTAATGTAACCACCATTTGCAACTCAGCCGCCGATGACGCAAATATGACTTGATCATCGGCATACAGAAGGCATTTGACGGTTAACTCGCCCATTCTTAACCCACATTCTTCATCTTTCAAAGTTTGCAAACACCTGTCCATAAACAGGTTGAAAAGCCAAGGGGAAGCTACACAGCCCTGTCTGACAACTTTTTGGATGCCAAACCAGTCCGAGTAGACCCCATTGATCCTGACACAAGCACTAGAGTTCCTATAAAGAGACCTTAATGCCTGTATCAAACCAGCGCTTAACCCATATGAGTTCAGTGTTTGCCATAACACATTCCTGTCCACTCTGTCATAAGCCTTTTCCAAGTCCATGAACGCACAAAAAACTTTCTGGTTTTTGGCCAAAAACTTTTCCGCAATCATGCGCATGGAAAAGACTTGATCTGTACACCCCATTCCCTTTCTAAAACCCGCTTGCACATCCCAAATTTTTCCATCAGTTTCTTTCATAACTCTTTCAATTAACACCTTAGCATACAGTTTACCCACAATATTAAGCAAGCTGATACCACGGTAGTTTTTGCAGTCCCGCTGTGACCCTTTTCCTTTATATATTGGTACTAGAACTGCTTTACACCAGTCATCCGGTACCCGTTTTAATTCCCAACATAAATTAAACAAGGTGTACAGCAGGCCTGCCACCACTCCCTCTCCAGCCCTCAGCATCTCGAGTGATACTCTATCATATCCAGATGCCTTACCTGCTTTCATGCTTTTCATTATTTCATTATATCAAGGATTATTTACATTTATATTGTTCTAATATAAATGTAAATAATCCTTGTTTTAAAAAAAAAAGATTACTTCCACGCTAGAATTTTGTCCTTTATCGCGGAGACGTTTTGTATACATAAATTGCAGAAGGACAAACATCCAGACCCGAAATAACTATTTGTAGGCCAAACAAACATTTGTGCTGTGCGGGTTTATAACCGCTGCCCTATCAAGCCCCCAACTGATAACATATATCACTAATTATCATCATCATCATCATCACAAAAGCTCATCATAAGTCCAGCCACAAAGCACGGCTCTAAGTCTCCTGCATCCATCGATTTACATGTTATCATAAAATCTTCTATTAGAAAAAAGCATTAGATTATTTCATTGATATATTTTTAAATCTCATATCCTTGAGGTGTAATATGATATAACGAGTAAGAGAGCGCGAATTGTAAATATGTTTATTTTCCCATAAAGTTATTAAGTTTAAAATTATTTGTAAGGCCACTTAAGCTACCAGTAGGAGGACTATTAAGCTAGGGTCTCTACTTGATTATTGTTTTGGAGAATTAAAGAGTTAGCTGTGTCACTTCACCAACATACTTCAAATAACTTCGAAATAATTACAAATTTTCCTTCTTGTAAACTCTTTCTATGATGTTATAATTCACCGTTGAGTACATGTTACAACAGAATGTAATTTTCATAATGTAACATTTAATTCACGATTTAAAGTAAGCAACTAAAGTTGAGCTATCAAGGTTTGAGTTATACAAGCTGGTTTCAATTTTGCCTTTTTTATTGTTTATGATTTAAACACTCTGTGCCTATGAAATAGATATACATACATACACTAGTAAACATTACTCTCCTTCTGAGATAGTCGGGTAATTCATCAGCTTTGTTTAAGAAGTCATAAACGCCTTTGAAAGTAAAATTCAACAATCGAAATATATTTATCGGTCCATTCTACTTTAAAAGCCGGAGAGTGAGTACAAAATTCTAAAACCGCACTTTATCGCCCGTGGACACGGAGTTGAGCAACAAGTCATAATCAAATCAGTTATCGACTTATTTGCACGCATGGTTGCCTAATTGTTGCTACAACAGTAACCGTTTGACAGCTGAACACGAAAGGACTTTCACTATCACATAAACGTCGGCGCTAACGTTCATCTGATAGTGATGTTATTTACCTTTAAAAATCAGGTGAAACTTCGGTAATGGCCGATTTAGTGACCTTGTTTCGGGCACGCTTCGCTGGGCTTGAGTCTTTTGTTAACACTGGTTTAATAAATTCTTTATAATAAAGATTATAATTGCAAATTTTATATGAAATAAGGAGTTGAGCAAGTTTTGAGTGGCTGTAAGCACATACTTTCTGGCAATTGCGATGGTTTATATGTAATTCAAATATTAATATTTTTGTAGTTACAACATTTCTGAATTCTTTTAATTTTTCAATGTAGAAAAAAGTGTTGTTTTTTGGTAAATTTTAGCAGTTGTATAAATTATATTATGTATCATATTATTTTGAATGGATTCATAAGTTAATAATATATTAGCAAAATATTATGTTATGTTATCTTAAAAAAAAGTAACCAGAAAACACGACTTGGATGTCATCTTAATATATATCTTAATATAAATTACGTGTCACGTTGTTTGTCCGGGATGGACTCCTAAACTACTTAACCGATTTTAATCAAATTTGCACACCGAGTGCAGTTTGGTCCAACGTGAGAGATAGGATAGTTTTTTGCCCATGACTGACCCACAATTTTTTTTTTTGCGTTATTAAGGATTTTTAATAGGACATGACAAAGGGTCTTCGAAAAGGGCAGAACAACGTCTGCCTGGCAAGCTAGTATAACATATTTATTTAACTTATGTGTCATTAGTTGACTTGCTTATTTAATATAAAAATTTTGTAACGAGTCCAAAGGAAAATCCCGTTTCAAGAAAAAAAGTTAAAAAGTTGAAAACGTATATCTTGTGTCCATAACTATATTTTGTAAAACAGCAAGTTAAAAATGTTTTGAATGATAATAGGCAATAGATAATATCATGTTGCAATTGTGTTTGCATAATTTCTCAAATAAAGAGCCGTGATAGCTCAGATGGTTATCGTTCACTGTAAATTTCACTGCACACGAGCAAACCGGGTTCGATCCACGCCGGCACCAATGAAATTGTTAGTTGCAAATTTAAGTACTGATTTTTGTTCACCATATTTTTCTTTACCACACGGTAAAGGAAAATGTCGTGAAGAAACCTGCTGGTTTGATAAATATAAAAAATATTTTAAGACATGTGAAGTTCGGAAACACGCATTGGGGCAGCGCGGCGGACACTTCCTTGCCCTAAAATCAGAATCAGAAATTAGGGGAGGTCTGTGAATTAGTCTGTAACTTTAACTTTGTAATTTCAATTTCTTAAATAATTTGACAAGTGCATATAACAGTTCGTTGTAATTTTAACTCAGTTTTTGACTCCCATTATTTTTTACATATAATATAAACATTTATTAAGGAAAGTGTTTATAATAAACGTACGTGTAATACTTTCAAATATCACAAATAAGTCGCAGTAGTTTTGAGATTGTGATACTTAAAGATAGACGCATAAAACGGAATTATAATTGTTTATTGTATTTGACGGTGGAACTCTAAATGAAAAATCCTACTTTGAAATTAGTCTAACAAACCTGATTACAAATTATTAGAGAAAGACCATAACCGAAATTATTAAAAGTGAGATATGTCTTGTCATTTTAATTATTTACTGTCAAACATACTTTAAAGGTTTTATAAATTTCGTTAGCTAAGTGTTCATAAGCGTTAAGTGCCCATTATTATCTTACAGTTTGAATATAGGACAGCCACGTGCAAATAATTCAGTTTGATAATGATTAGAATGCGTTTATTAACGCTTTAAGAAATTAAAATAATTACATTGTTGTAAAAAATATCGATTTTAATTACTTGCAGGGCCGTTACAACTGTGTTAAGATAAAAAAAAATTAAAATATGTGGCTTGAGATGTAATTACTCTTAAATGATTATTGTAGTTTGTTTTATTCTTTTTGCATAGGTCATAGTGCATATTGGGTTTCCTATAATTGGGAAAAATAGTGTATGGGCGATCGTTATGGCGACGCTTTTCTATATCGTAGGTCTTATGTATAGGCACATCTGACATATAATAGATGGTCACATCGATATCTATCGAGTGTCGTCAAATCCTTCTTGTATATTATAGTATTACGAATCCTACTAGAAGAGTTAGAGGATAAAACATCGCAAATAAAAATTGTATAAATTATTAAGTAACTTATATAAAGGGGAACTTCACTATTGACTATGTTTATGAATATTAATATTGACCGTACCTCATGCCGTCAAATCCGTCATCTGATCCATTTATTGTGAGCACTGGCGCCCGCGCGTAAGCTTTCGCCACGCGTCTATTCTTTTCAAAAACTATCACCTTCGCCCAGATTTCATCGTCGATCTGTGTCCATTTGTCCAGTACTTCCTGTATGTGTTCCTGTGAACAAAAATATAAATTAAAAATATGGGACCACAGCATGAAATTATTGAAATAATATAACATTGATATTTAATTTTAAACTCTCAACTGAAAACTGCGGTATGCTTTTTTACGTTTAAATTTTTTTTTAAATTACCCTCTCAGTTTATATAATTAAAAAAAACTTAAGGTAATTTTTTTATTGCTTTATTCCTCTGAAGAGCATTTACCAATTATTTCCGAAATGCCTCGAGTTTTGGTCCATTAGGACTTAAATCATAAAAAGGAAATATTCCTACGCCAAATATAAACAAATATATATATATATATATATATATATATATATATATATATATATATATATAAATAAACAGTATAATTGAAAAGGAACCAGACAAACGTTAACTAAGAAACAGAAGGGGGAATCGAGGCTTCTCTCGATCCGGCACCTATAACGCCTACGTTGGGTTCGGGAACAACGTATGTGATCTCCGTAACGGAGTAACACACAAGGGCGATAACCTCTTCCTTTTCAGAAAATAGGTTCAGGCGGGGATTACGGGTCTTCCGAAGTCGTCCCGGTCCCAACGCCTTAATTCTTCGATATGGACTGTATCACTTTAAGGGGAGAATTCCTTGGAAATAAAACAACAATTATCTTCAAACCGTTCCGTGAGAGAGTAATTACTTTTCCCTATCACTTCCCTATACTTTTTCTTTCTTCTTCTTATTGACTGCTGGTCTTGCACTTTTCCCGAACGATTTGCAAGCGTTGAAGCGTTGAATGTCGTCTACAGTGTCCGGGGACAATGCAGGTATCGGGCCTCGGGGTAACCCCCATTGCCCGGGTGTCCTCATATCCCATTACTATGGGACAGTCCTTTAGCCTATTTTAGGCTCGATAGCATACACGGGTTTTTTCCGTATTTGCAAGAAAAATCAATTTACTGAACTACCTTGAAGCTAAACGCGAAAGTGAGCCGCGCCATTTGTGCGCTTACGCAACTCAATTACATCAATTTGTACTATCACTCTCTCACAGTTTGCTCAATAACTTTATTTGTATAAGACATACATTTATACAATTTAATTATAAAGATAGCACAAAGAAATATCTATACTACGATATACATTACATTTTCATATCACAAAAAATCCTTTATTTATTTAACAAAATATTCTTATTTTACTCACATGTTCAAAGTTGGAATTTCTTAAATATTTAACATAAAAAGTTAAAACAATGTTTTCCACTTGAAATTATACATATCTTAACTAATACAATAGTTTAATTTACATTTTCTCTATACATTTCACTATTAAAACACTTTTAAATTTCTTATACAAAACTATCATTATTTCACTTATTCACAGGAATTTTTACATAAAACAACACAGAATTCACCTCTTTTACACGTACAATCAATCTGAAATGTTTTACAAGTCATTTTACATAAATTGCTGAAATTTGCAAATATTTAAATTTCTACATATTTGGCCTCCTAAGTACGTGGCTAGCGTGCGTCTATGAACTCACACTATTTGAACAACTAACTTTTGCACGGCTATCGACTGTCAGTAAAAATGGAAAGTTTAGTATACACTAATATCAACAATACTAGGTGAATAAATGATTCTACTCAATTCTCAAACGCCGAAAACTACCTCTAATCAGATTCCTATCAGTTATCATGTTTCCCATCAAACAATATAAGTGAATGTTTTCATAAATCAATCATAGAAAATAGGCATTTGTTTTCATACAAAACATATCAAACTCATATAAGACAATACTTATGCAATTAATTTCCATTAATTCTACTTATGCACAGCGATCATCTCGACCGGGGAACAAATCCTGGTCTCTAACTTTATTTTAATATTTCTTTAAATTAACATTATTGGAAAGATGATTTCAACCGGGGAACAAATCCGGTAACATAATTTATATCTTAAAATTCCCTATATGAATTTATTAAGAGATATTACTAATAATAAAACGATAAACTATTCCGGCCTGGGAGTCCAACCCAAGACCTTCATATCATTAATTCGATATTTCTTTAAGATTCAACGCAAGATGGAAATGAGGCATTCCATCTCAGTCCTCACGGGTGACAACGCATCTGCATTTTGATTTGTAATGGAAGATGGATGTAGATGTCTATGGGCCGCAGCAACCACTTACCATCAGGTGGACTGTATGCTCGTTAGTCAGCCTATTCTATAAAAAAAAAACTAAGCATTTTCTTATCGGAATATTATTGCTTGATAATTTGCTTTTTAGAAGCTATTCGTAATCGGTTAACTAATAAATTGAAATATTCTTATAGGCGCGTCGCCAACAATAATTATACAAAAACAATTAGTTTGCAAAATATTCACTGCTACTACGTTACATATTTTCATTCAAAATTAACCTTACAACACTAAACAAAATTGACCTTGTGTTTTAGCGGGGTGTTTCTTTTGTAAGCTGAGATTACTAAATTCATAGATATTAATCCTGATGGGGCAACACTGTCGTAATCTGTTGACATCGGGCTCAGTGCCGGCGCAACATTGAGTTCCGCTCTAGTAATCTACGTCTTACTTCAAACATGTGTTACCTTTTAATCACCATCGCATTTAGCTATTTCTTATGCAAATATGGATTTGTGTAATTAAACATAATCATATAAGTATATTCTAATGGCCAGCCACATACATACGGAATTTCGTTTCGGGATTCCGAACGCAGCAAGTCCATATAGAGTCAAGGATCCGTCATGCACCTATGGTTGTTTTTCGTTCGTAAATTTGCGGGCAAAACGGGACTCCGTAAAACAGTAAAAACAGACAAACCGTATGTATGTGGCCAACCCGTTCGTTCGGTTTCGGAATAAAGAAACGGAATTCCGTATGTAGTGTGTGGCGGGCCCTAAAAATAATCATTTAAGTATATTGTATGGCCCGCCACATATTCATGCGGAATTTCGTTTCGGCATTCAATTTTGGAATTCCGATTCGGGATTCCAAACGCAGCAAGTCCAAATAAAATTAACGACCAGTCATACACCAAGGGTAATTTTCCATACGGAATTTTGTGGGCAAGACGTGATTCCATATGCGTGTGGCCGACCCATTTGTTCCGTTTCGGAATTCCGATTATGTAGCGGGTCTTAGTGTGGTATTGGTCTTGCTACAAATCTATTAATGATTCCAAGCAGTACGGCAGTAGAGGATTCAGTCATTGCAGAAGATGTGTAGTACACATCAAGGATCTTTTGCAATGACAGCGTAAGATAATTAAAATATCTACATATTCCCATATCAGCCCGCCGGTATTGTAAGAGGCCATAGAGGGAAGTTAAATAAAATTTGGACAGCAATATCTTCTTGATAACAATTCAACACATCTATGAGTGATGCCTAAACCTATTAGCAGTGGACTTTTTATACGCAGTAGAGCCACGCTGCAACTATTATGGTTGTAGCATGAATGGGTCGGCTCGACCGGGGCAGGACCACGCTCTTACAGAATACTAGCGTAAAATAGCAGCTTAATGCTGCCGTGTTTCGTATAGTGAGTGTAAAGAACCGGAGACCTGTTTTACGGGAATCGAGGCATTCCATCTTAGTCCTCAAGGCTGACAACACATCTGCATTTTGATTTTTAATCGAGGTTAAATGTAGATGTCTATGGGCCACAGCATCCACTTTCCATCAGGTGGATTGTGCTCGTCACCCTAATTCTATAAAAAGAAAACTTTGGGTATACAGTAGTGATGAGGACATTTTATAGATTAGGGTTGATTGCGCCAGTGGGGTAGTTATTAAAATACTTACTCCACAATTTTTTTGGTCTCTTCTACAATTCTCTTTTTACAGTGTTAGTGACTTGTGTATTCTAGATACAATTTCTCTTCTAACTGTCGTAGAATTTTTAACTTTAAGTTAAAATGATTAAGGTTTAAGATACGAAATCTATTAACATTCTATGCTACTGAGGTAACAATTTACGCGGTCAGCGGCCTATGTAAACATATCTTTGTTTTTACATGCACGTAATAAACTAGCAATTTTCCCGCTGAAAGCTGGTTCTGAATAAACCGTTGTTTTGTACAAAAACTCTTAAAATAATTACAGAGAACACGATTATTCTTAAAACTAGGGTTGTTTCTAACTTAATAAACCAGATAAAAGAGTAAATTTAATTATTTATAATATGTACGCGAACATAACACACTGAATAACACAAATTTTACTGATTTTATTGCAATTAATTAGAACTTATTTGATTCACATCGTTGGAGTAAGACGTCCGAAATGTCAGTAAAAAAAGATTTATATTTAAAACATAAGCCTCACTCGTAATCGGGAGATTGATCATTATTTTATAGAATAAGGGCGACAAACGAGCACACAGTTTATCTGATATTAAGTGGATGCTGTGGCCCATAGAAATTTATATGTTTCAGACTGAGAATCAAATGCAGATACAGATGCTGAGGTCTAAGATGAAATGCCATGTTTCCAGTAAAAGGAGTCTCCGGTTCTCCACACTCACTAAACGAAACATAGAAGCATTAAGTTTCTATTTTACCTTGGTATTCTGTGAATGCGTGGTCCTTCCCCGGTTGAGCTCACCCATTTGGGCCGCAGCCCTAAAATATCTAGAGGGTGTCTCTACCACGACACTATGACAATGACACACATAATATATAAAACAAAAAAAAATATTTTAATTTCCTTTGCAACATTTTTAAAATTTCACAACCCTATACAAATACAATGCAATATTAAAACGTATGGTAGTCTTCGTTTAGGTTATTAAAGTTGAATCATTACAACCAATTGGGATGGTTAGCATGTTTTTCGTTCTTTCCGCCTCCATGATAATGATAGCGAATTTCACTTTCGATAGTATTCCGCTGCATCCCGGTTCGTGGTTGAAAGTAAAATTAGTGTCGGCTGTACTTTGTATATAAAGATGTTTGTGTATATATAGAATTACAATAGTCTTACAAGAACTAATG